ATATATATATATATATATATATATATATATATATATATATATATATATATATATATATATATATATATATATATATATACTAGAAAAACATCAATCTGTGACCGACATTTCTGACCGAATTTAAAACGGTCGCTAATGGGACTACTTTTGCGACGGCTCTAGTCGCAAAAAATTGAATTTTTATTAATTTTTTTAATAAAATAAAATGGACTAGTATTCCAACAAAAGTAGTAGGACAAAAACGCGCCAATTTTCCCGCCTTTAAGTTTGCGACATCATCCGTCAGAAATCGAAAAGTCAAAAATATTGTTGACCCGTCTAACGACCGTTTCAGTCGCAAAATTAAAATTAAATACTAAAATAATATTTAAGTGAATTTGCGACTAAGGTAGTCATAACTCATAAGCCTAAATCTAATATTTCCGCCTATTTCCCCAATTTCTCTATTTCTCTCTCTCACTCTCTATTTCTTTTTTCCTTGTTCATAGTCAGTTTCTCGATTCAAGGCTGATTGTTCTTGAATCTCTCTTCCAATACACGCGACTCACGACTCTCTCTCCATCTGACTGATGGTAAGTCTTTTTTTTCCTCTTTCTGTTTTTTTTTTCGTCTTCAATTCTAGGGTTTAATATGTGTTCAATTCTAAGGAGAAAATTGGCATATATGTTTTCATAGAAAATGCCATAGTTACGCAAATTTTCGGATTGATTGGTAGGTAGACTAGAGAAGTAGTATTAGTTGATTGTGTTTTCCTTTTTCTGTTTATTTTTTTCTTCTTCAATTCTAGGAAATGGGTAACTTTAATTTCTTCTCTATTTTGTCGATGTTTACTGAAAATTCGTTGTTTAGAGTGTTAATGAACTATTGCTATAGAAGTAACTATTGTTGGTAAAGTTGCTTTTGAATTTCTTTTTTGACTTGGGGTTTTATGAGTTTTCCTTATGTATATTTTGGTATCTTGAGAAGTCAGTGTGACTGAAGATAACAATAATACTGCTGGTCAGGGCATGTAATACTATGAAGCCTATGCATAGTTTATCCTAAGAGTAGTTCCCGTAGCCAAAGTAAAGCATCCAGTTGACTGTTGACAGTGCCTATGCCTTGTGGTTGACTCTCTGTTTTCTATACCATTCAGCGTGCTTTCTCCTTGATGCTGGATTTCATTAGTTTTTGATGAAGAAAATAAATGGATAGACATTACTTGTTGGATTTTATGAATTGATAAACATGTAACCGAAGATCCTTCCAAACCAAATTCCTTTTGCTTTATTTCATTTACCTTATATTCTTATTCCAAAACTATGTTGCTTGCTCGTATGTGCTGGATGCTACAGGTTAGTACCAATTTAGATATCTTAAAATCGAGTTTATTTGTTTATGTTATTTTATTGTAGTTCAAGATCACTGGTTTGCTCATATCTATTCTTATAGTTAATTCGATGTTGCCTGCATATAGTTTTGTAAGTCTATTCTGCTTAGAGACTGTTGGTTAATGGTTAATTCAATATTTTTAGCAACTTGCAAATGCATACATAGCTATCTGGAAATTTTGGTTTATTATGGTTTTCCTTATCTCTTGTCTGGTGGTTTTCTATCACCTGATTCAATATCTTCTCACCGTACCTCTTCAAGTTGCTTTGTTAGTTTCTGGCCTGAAAATTATCAAAACCCCCATGAGACGCCTGAAATTATCAATATAAAATTAAACTACACCTACTACAACAAAAGGGAATTTGGGTAGGTAAAAGTTACTTACAGTAGCTATAAATAAGGTGGAAGTGGACTTGTCAATAACAATGAAAATACTACCGTTTGGACTTATATGCACGTGTACGCTGTGATTGCTTGAGCATGTCAAGTGTGATACCTTTTCCTACATACATAAACGCCATTTTCTTACAGAAAATATATCGTATTGCGTTACAAACTTTATTTTTCTATTCTTTCTGTAATTTTCTGATTCTGTTTTATATTTTTGAAATTGGAATGGAACAGATTATCAATTTCTACTCTATGAATGGTCAATGTTTGGGTCCCTAAACTACTATTAAACAAGCGAGGAAGAATCATTTGATAAAAATGAAACAAGCGATGAGGAAGAATTGCTTGATGAAAATGAAACAAGCGATGAGGAAGAATTAAATAATGAATATCAATCAAGCGAAGATGATTGACATGTTGGTTTTTATTTATCTTTGTTATTCATTTAATTTAATAAGCTGAAGTATTTCTTTACATTTTTTATGTCTTAACATATTTTATCTAATGTTTTTAATATACTTATGTTATATAGATGGCGCTGGGTAAAAAAAAGAAGATAAGACACGATTCCCAGCTTCCTCAGTACACTTCATGTCCCACTACCCCGTCTGTGCCTTTTAATGAAGGTTTGTTCCCTCCAATGAATCTGTGAAGGTGGTTATGGATTGTGTTAAAGGATTTTATCGAGATGCTTGGAGTAAATGGTTAGATATACCATATATTTACAGAGATCAGATGTGGAATCAATTTAGGGTACAAAATCAATAAATTTTGTATTATTTATCGAACTACCCTTATTTCATCTAATGGTTTAAATTATTTGCAGATAAGGTGTTCATGGATTTCCTAATATCATCAGCAAATAAGTCATAATTTCGAGAAAAAAGCTGATGATCTACTTAAAAATCACTTTTATAGAGCTCGACAGAACAACAAGATGCCCGGATGGATGCTGAAAGACATATGGGAAAGACTTAATGTGATATGGGCTTCTGAAGAATTTAAGAAGAGGAGCAATGCTGCAAAGGCTACCCGAGCCTCCGATACGGGTGGCTCATTGCACACTGGGGGTTCAATTAGTATGGAGACCCTTGAAGGAGAATTGTAACTTATTATATTTGTTTTGATTTTAACTAGATGCAATTTAACTTTCTCTAATTTTAATTTTTTTTTTTTGCAGGAAAAGGAAAAAGGGAGACTTGTGACTTATGCTGAGGTTTTTGAGGACAAACATTTGAAAAAGAAAAAGGATGGTATAAAAGAATGGGTCGAGCCGCGTGCTGCGAGGATATATGTAAGCATTTTCCAACTATCCATGTCTATAAATATCACCAACCAAAATAATCATTTTAACAGTAGGAATGGAAAGGAGAATGCAAACTATAGCATATGGATTGCAGTGTACCCACCATTCAACAGCAATATCACATTATTATTGTTAAGTTTGTAGGAACCCATATGAGAAAGTTTCTATTTTACATTAATGGTAACTATCTTCCTGTAAGCCTGTCGTATTCCAGCAATTAGATGAAATTCAGTGGCTTTGTCAAATAGTGTTCCTAACTGAAGTTGATGGTGTTTCTCTGATCTTCATATTCTGGGGTTTCATAAAAACTGAAGTTGAGCTCTATAGTTGTAGAAAGATCAGTACTTTTTTCTCAATTTATTGAATTTGAGGTTTTGCTTTGCTTTCCTGTTCTGTAAATCCACTGAAAGATCATTACTTTTTTGACCTGTGATTTGTGATTTGCTTCTTCTGATAGCTTCAAGACTCATAACGTAAAAGGTTGTTTAAATTGCTTCAAATGTTTGTAGGACAGGTATTTTTAGTTTCTGATATTCAGCACAAGAGGATGTTGTTAAATTCATGTCTCCTGATAATGCATGTTCTGTCTCCTAACTGTATTTGATCTTGTTTGGTACTCTTATTCTCCCACACCCAACTAAAATTTATATGGGCATCTTTGGTTGTATTTCTAGATTGGGCATCCAGAAACATCCCTGGATTCAGCTACTTCAGAGTATATGATCTTGTTGTTTGTTTTGAATCCTCACTGTTGTACACAAACCGAGTGTGCTTTCCACCTAATTTTTCATTAACATTGATCTTGTTCATTGCTTCACATACTTCATCAACTACAAACTCTTCTTCTGACTTTTCAGTAAAATCCACTAGTAGAGATCTTGTAATATTATACCACAACATTCAGTTTGAAACTGATAGCTTGTTAAAAACAAACTTCAATCATGGGAATATCTTTGTGCATAGGATTGTTGAGTTGGAACTTTGGGCATAGGATTCCCAATTACCTATTTTAAGTTACAGAATGATAGGAGTATCTTTGGTAGTTTAAATTGACTTGAGATTGGTTCACTCTGAACTGCAGTCGTTAAGGAAATTGTCACTCAAATCTTAATGATTAACATTTTAATTTCAGGAAGGCTATCAAAAACGTTTTGAGGAATGGCGTCAAGATCAACCCGATTCCGAGGATGGTGGCTCAACCCAAGTGTCACTCAATGATGTAGCTTCAATATGGTCGCAGGTGGTTGGTGGTGCAAAGAAAGGTAGAACCTACGGTCTTGGATCACAATATTCCGTAGGTTGTCCTTCGACATTGTTGTCTGGTGATATGAGTTATTCACAGGATCATGAAGAGGTGGAAACATTATGAAAAGAAATTGAAGAGTTGAAGGAGGAACGGAAAGAAGATCGTGCAAATTTTAACAAATTGCAGAGTCTAGTTGAGAACTTATGAGCATGCGTCAAGTTGATCCTTTTAATGACGAACGTGGCGGGGATAATGAGTTTTAGTTTGTGGTGGTTGTTGTGATGTTTGAGACATTATTATTTGTTATGGTTGGATGTTTAGACTTGACTATGATTGTAATGTTAAGTTTTGATTGAATGGTTCTTGGATGTTTTAGTAACAAATGCTTATGTTTTCTTTAATTGTTTGTATTTTATGTGTTTGATTAGTTGAAATGGTGGATTAATTGGTAGTAATGGTTTATTGATTCTTTAGTTACTGTAGTTTTGAATTGACAGGTGGTATTGTTTTAAAATGGCCGAAATTTGTTAAAATATTTGCAATTTTCCGTCTGAATTCCGACTAATGTTGTTGCAAAATGCTTTAAAATTTTTCAGAATCATAACATTCTGCGACAGCAGCAGTTGGAAACATAAATAAATAAATACTATTAAATTAAATTTGTGACCGCATCAGTGGGAAAGCTTAAACAAAATTAAAGTACGTTTTAATATCTGCGACCAGTATGGTGGGAAATATTATATAAAAATATAATTATTATTAAGTTTTGCGACCAAAGTAGTGGGAAAGGTAATATAAAATTAAAACTTAATTTAAATACTTTGCGACCGCGTCAGTCGGACAATTGACAGCATTTGTGAGTCGTTTCCTATTTTCTTTTTCTGACCGACGTAGTCGCAATTTAGTGACCGATTCGGTCGCAAAATATTTCAGACCAGCTATTTTGCGACCGCGTTATTTCGGTCTGAATGTGGTCGGAAATTAGCGTTTTGTGACCGCATTCCGACCGTATTCGCAGTCAGAAAATAGCTTTTTTCTAGTATATATATATATATATATATATATATATATATATATATATATATACAGATAGTAAAACAACTAGTATATCTATTAGTATCAGTATACTAAGACATAGTAGTAATATGAGTATCAGTATATACGTAATCTAAGACGACATCTGATATTAGATATNTATCAGTATTAGACGTCTTAAATACTAAAAAAAGGAGAACNGGATCTTACATAAAATATTAATTTATATCTTATAATATTTCAATTTATCTCAAATAATAACTTTTTTTTGTTCAAGTTAATATTTTCACTAATTGATGTAATATTTAATCACTTTTCTTTGAAATTGTATATGTTTTTATCTTGAAATATAATATATATATATATATATATATATATATATATATATATATATTCAGATGTTAAAAAAACAAACAGTGTTAATCATTTAGTATTCAGATCTTAATACACATTGTAATATTCAGATTCATATATCTTAATCTTAATACACATCTTGATATTTAGATATGTATCCAGATTTAGACGTCTTAATCTTAAAAAAAGGAGACAAATGAGGCCTAATACTCCCTCCATTTTAATTTATGTGAACTTATTTAACCGGACACGGAGTTTAAGGAAAAAAGAAGAATTTTGAATTTGCGGTGTAAAATGAGTCACATGTATTTTGTGTGGCTTTAAATCATTGCATAAAGATAAATTGTTTCCAAATATTAAAATGGGTCATTCTTTTCACACGAACTAAAAAGCAAATAGGTTCACATAAATTGAAATGGAGGGAGTAGAAAATAAAAGAAACTTTCCTTGGTGGAAAAGAAAATCCAACAAGTTTTGAAAAAGGGTTATCACCCTAAAAACGTGTATATATATACATAGGTCCATAGGGCTGGCCGTTTTTTTTTTAGTGTGGTTTCCCTTGAAATTTCGCTCACACGAAGTTAGCTCTTTTTGGATATTATTTGGGTAACACAGTAAAAGATTGTGAGACGTTTTGGAGGTCATATATAATCGTACTATTGGTGGCGTTCTGATCGAGTTGCTCTGGAACTGGAGACCAACAGAATAGAAGTACTTAATTCACGCTCCAAAAGGTAACTCGAATAAACTCCATGTATACTAATTGTATAAACCACACGTGAATTTGATACCAGAATTGCTTCAGCTGCGTTGTATAATCCAACAATGCCTACGTAATATTTGGAAGAGCTACCAGGTCCGAAGAAACCAAGCTCAAAGAGAGACAATTGTTTGGGAAAATGAAAGAATTTCATTCGCATAATGGTGTTGTTCCCCCGAGACAGAGATTAATGTCGAGACTGAAGCATAGAAAGAGCAGAGAGAGTAGTAGAAATGAATGGTTGTTCTTCATTTCCATGGCTACACAATTTGTTAGTAAAGCAGATGATGGCTGAAAGAATAAGAAGAAATAAGGAGAGTACCTGGGGAAGTCTTGATGGAAGGAGATTTTGTTAGTACACTGTATTCGTAAAATAATTCTGGAGAATATAAAAATAACGTATAAACAAAAATGAAAAACAGAAACATAATTTAATCCGAGCCCACTGAATTCACAGTATTTCCTTAAGGAATTTAGTCCCCTCCTAGTACCCAAAGCTGTGGATTGTTTCCTCCTAGGATAGAACGAATTACACACTGGTGTAGCGGTACTTCAAACCCAGTGTTTCAGCGAACACAAAGATCAGTAGCGAATCACACTTACTGTTGCTTTCTTAGTAGTTAAAACAATGCAGAAGAAAGGAGGAGAACTCAGAAATTCGTATGGAAAATCTGAGAGAATGATCTGATATATATAGCCAATATGTTGAGACTCTTCAGAAGGGCTATCATGACCGTTTAAGCAAAACAACCATAATGTAAATGGCTATTTACGCAACAATAAAACGGGAATTCAAACCTTATTCTTCCGTTACAAAAACGGAAAACGGACGGGAAGGGAACTTAATTTTCCGTTACAAAAAACGGAAAACGGACGTTGAGGAAACGGATAATTTTCCGTTTACAAAAGTCGGATATTTAATAATACTAGTTTTAGTGTAAGTGCGTTGCACGTGTATACTGCATCAAGCACTAAAAGTTAATTAAATAAAATAGCAGTTGACATCAAAATAAGCACAATATTATATTCACTTAGTTCAATGATTGTTATTATATACTATAAATATTAATACAATATAATGGTTGGTTCAATACTCAATATCCTCCAAATAATATTAGTCACACCGAATAAAATGAGGTTCTTGATATATGTTTACTTTTTATCGCTTCGGTCGTCAAGATCAAAACTATTTTTTGCCTATCTACAACAAATAAAATGCACATTGATATTAAGAAGAATGAAAACTTTGTTAAGAAACTAAGCTCAAAGTAATAATATAGAAACAATAAAATAGACAAAAGAAGTAGAGAGGAAGATGGAACTTTCTTATTTCTTCTATGTATTTCAAGTGTGTACAATGTGATGTCCAAACCCTCTATTTATAGGATGACATTGAGGTATACAAAGGGATATCATAAACATGGTATTAACTATTGAGATCATGGGGAAAGATCATGGGGAGGTTATGGAGGTGTGGGAGTTACAACTATAATGGTGAGAAGTAGTGGGAGTTATCTACATAATGGAGAAGAGTAGTGGGAGTAACTTCTTTAGGAGTTATAGACATCCACTACAAAATAATATTTCATAACACTGCCCCTTGGATGTCTATAGATAATGTGCCTCGTCAAAACCTTACTAAGAAAAACCCTGTGGAAAAAAAATCTTAGTGAAGGAAAAAGAGTACACATATCTTGTAATACGCATTATTTGCTGCCTCATTAAAAACCTTGCCAGAAAAACCCAGTGGGATAAAATCTTAGCTAAGGGAAAAAGAGTACAACGCGTATTTGCCTCCCCTGATGAAAACATCACTTTATTCTTCGGAGAAGACGAATTCCAAGCTTGTATAACAACTTCTCTAATATTGAGATCCGCAATGCCTTGTGAAGAAGTTTGTCAAATTATCACTTGAACAAATTTATTGAAGAACTTTGGTGAATGTGCTTTATTTTGTTGCCTTCAATATATCCTTCTTCCAATTGATATAAGCAAACAACATTATCTTCAGTATTATTGGAATCTTCTCTTCAAAGAAAAGTCACACGTCTGTTCTGTGTTGAGTCCCTTGCTTTATCAGTTTCTTATATTGGCATGACTTGAATAAGTATCAACAATTAACTGCCTTGTAGAATAATAATATGGCATTATCCTCACATGGAAATAGGTTGTTTGAACAACGAACTATGCCCTGCATTTGTATAACCAACAAAACTTTGACAATATTTGTTAGAATAAACAAATCTATATCAAGGATTCCTTTTGCAATATAACACTAATCATATTTCAATATCTCCATATAGCCTTTATACTTTCAGCTGTTGGAACTATCCGTCCAACTTCATATTTTTCAGACGAAGTCAATTTTCATTGCATATTTTTTCATTTGGCCAATCATTTATCTGTCCAAATTCCATGACAGATTTGAGCTCAAGATCCTCGTCAATATTAATAATATTGAGCGCTACATTATATTAACAACATCGTCGACGATCATTTTACATCGGTTCCATCATCACACAATAAAGACATAACTTATCGAGATCTCATTATTTTCAGGTACCTGAGCCTCTCCCATGAGGTCTTATAAAGTGTTATGTCATGGTGTTCTTATAAAGCACTTGCCTCCTTATTATGACCATCTTGAGCATTTGCTCCCTCCTTCTTCAAGGAGTTTTATCTTTGGAACCGATTTGTCTATTACGCTTCATGCGTGCCATAAACTCTATCCATCATGGACGTTATTCTATTTGGAGCATTAGCAGCTGGAATATGACATTTAGCTTTGGGTCAGCAATGTGCCTGGAAATATTTTAGAAATGAATTATCACTTGTACTTCAAGTTCACATTTTCTTGTACGAGGATCTAGATGTATTCATAATAATTCATTTCACGTATCACTTTTTCAGCTGCTCATTTCTCTCCCTAATGTTGGGATCACCAACACATATCCCCAACCTTCTTTGGGAACCAATCTTTGTGCATTGTGGTGGTACAATTAAATCATATAGTACATCCATATTTCTAGATGAAAATATTTGGTTCCTGACCCTGAACCAATTGTGATGCGGAGAATTTATCATAACTTGTTGGCTAGATGCGTACAAGTGCTGTTGTATATTAAATAATATACTTAATATAAAATTTCTACTTGGAGTTTTGTTCTCATAACCAATGGTTTAGCAATAATTGGATGCATACAATTTCTGCTAAACCAACTTGGATTTAAACCAGCATTATCATCACAATTTACATTCTGGAATTGTGCTCTAATAATATGAGCAAGCAACCTTGCAAAA